TAGAGGTGATGGTTAGCTGGGTCTGGATGAAGGTGCATCAGTGTTACAGAAGGACAGGCACTCACTGCCCCCTCCTCCCCCCATCCCTCCACGCCCGGAACCGGACCGCCAGCCAGTGTAGCCCTGCAGTCGCTTTAGACACCGAACACTTTGTTTGATAATTTGAGAATCTTCTAAGAATCCCTCAGTCACTTTTAGTTTTGTTTTGAGTTGTTTGGTTTTAAAATGTGACTTTAGGATTCATGGCAGCACCCGGTGTGCGCAGCAGCCCGGGGCTTTCCATTGTTCGCCTCCCTGCGGCCCCAGGCCGGGAGCAGCCCTCTGCCGGCAGCAGCCTGGAGCGGCTGGCTTCCCCTCTCTGCCGGCAGCTCCTGGCTGGGCTGGGACTTCTTAGCCTCGTGGCAGGTTGGAGGTCCCGGCTGACTGCTCTCGGGCCTGCCATACTCAGGAAGGCTCCCGCATTGGGGTCCGGAGAAGCAGCACCGGGGAACAGTGCGTAGCTGCACCGGCGGCACGGCTCCGTGCTTGAGCATCGACCTATGAACCCGGAGGTCACAGTTCAATTCCCGGTCAGGGCTCAATCCCCAGTAGAGTGTGTGCAGGAGGCCGCCGAAGGATTCATGGCAGCACCCGGTGTGCGCAGCAGCTCCGGGCTTTCCATTGTTCACCTCCCTGCGGCCCCAGGCCCCAGGCCGGGAGCAGCCCTCTGCGGTGAGGAGGAAAACTGGGGGGTGTGGTCTCAGAATGTAGGTTGATGTCAAGTCAAGGACGGTCTTGAATGCTTACTCAAGAGGGCGGAGTTCATTGTGGGCATAACAGGGAGAGACAGTTTTCTGAGCAGGTTAATGACAGGGTCCCAGTCCCACAACAGGAAGCGATGTTAACAGTATTTCTGGCCACCGGCGGCACGGCTCCGTGCTTGAGCATCGACCTATGAACCCGGAGGTCACAGTTCAATTCCCGGTCAGGGCTCAATCCCCAGTAGAGTGTGTGCAGGAGGCCGCCGACGAATGATTCTCTCTCATCATTGATGTCTCTATCTCTCTCCCCTCCCTTCCTCTCTGAAATCAATATAAAATGTGGCTTTGATTCCTGGCTTTGAGATCAACCTAGTGATGACGTTGGGCGAGGCCTTTCCCCAGGCCTCAGCATCCTCGCCTGCAGGCAGGGGAGGCATCGGGCTTCCCAGGTCCCTCCCAGCTCCACCTCTCAGCGCTCAGCCCTGTGAGCTGGTGTGTTAGCTGCTCAGGTTGGTTGAATTTAGTGAGACTATGGAAAGATTTGGTTTTCTTTTCCTCTTAGCTGCTTCTCTGCTATTTTCTCTGAGCTTGTATCCTCTTTTTTAAAAAATCACCTTTTATTGTAAATAAATGACCGAGCCTATATTTACTTGAGGAATCTTATTTTAATTATGTGTGGATGTGATTGTATTCATTTTGCTAGAATTAGGATGGAATTAAAACACTTCTTTAAAAATCCTCTCCCAGGGATATGTTTTTACTGATTTGAGAGCGAGAGGAAGGGAGAGGGAGGGAGAGACAGAAACATCAGTGTGAGAGAGAAACATCGTCTGGTTGCCTCACACACACACCGACCGGGATCGAACCCGCAACATTTGGAGTCAGGACGGTGCTCCAACCACCTGAGCCGTGAGGCCAGGGTGGGTCAGAAACACTTACCAGTAAATGGGAAACGGAAAGCGTGAGTGCTTATCTCCCAAGGGCCTTTCGGAGCCTCGGGCAGTTCTCTGTAGACACTGGAACACCCCGTACTAGTGCACAGAGCTCCAGTGAAGCGCAGTCTGAGCTGCGGGAAGCATTGCGGAGGCGTGTAAGGGTCAGGGTACAGAGGCCGGCGTTGGTGAGCGTCCTTCGGCCTCTGGGAATTAAATATGACAGTTGAACTCTAAGGTGTGTGGCAGCGTTCTTCAGCCTCACAGTATGGCTTGGAGTTAGTAGGACTTTGGAATTTTAGAGGGATTTTAAATTAATTTTTAAGGGAGGGAGGGAGGGAGAGAGAGAGAGAGAGAGAGAGAGAGAGAAGCATCGTTTGTTATTCCACCTACTTATGCGTTCATTGGTTGATTTCTTGTATGTGCCCTGACCAGGAGCAAGCCCTCAGCCTTTCTGTATGGGGAGGACGCTTAACGAGCCACGCTCCCGCCCATGGTGAAGCTTTAGTGGGACGCAGCGTCAGCAGTGCTCGATGCCATGTGGCGGCTGCTCGCCATGCGAGGACAGTGAATGAGCATTTCCAGCTCCCGTCTCTAGGCCAGGGCTGTCCACCGGCCGGGAACGGTGCCGCCGCCGCACCAACCTGTGTGGCTACAGGTGTGGGGGGAAGAGCATAATCTGACCCAGGTCACACCGCACTTAGACCCTGAGGGAGACGCAGCCTTTGGTGGAACGCGTTCGGAGGTGGCATCCTCGGCTCCCACCCCTGGGCTGGCTGGGTAACCTGGTCTCTTTGTCCTCCGCAGGCTCTGTACTACTGAAGAGTGGCCCTGCTCAGCCTCCTCGCTGCCCCACCGAATCATTCCTCTGTGAAGTAGTTCACGAAGCCATAGGTTTAGCATCCTACCAAAAACGGAAAGAGAATACGCAGCCCTGCACTCACCCTGACATCATTGCCAAGCGCCATGAATGCAACTTGCATTTCAGCCAAATCCCAGCATCCCCCCCGAGGACTCTCAGAGCCCACTCTGGACTGTGCTGCCCGGGTCAGGGCCGGGGAAGGAGAAAGTCTGGAGCAACCCCTGCGTCCCCTGGGAGCTCGGAGGAGCTCAGACCCGCCCAGGGACCACCTCCCACCATTCATGGGACATGGGACACCCACCCCGTCCCTGCCGTTGCCTCCATCACTCTGGAAACTTTCAAGAGTTCAGTCCGGAGAGATGAGGATGGATTTTCCCGGCTCTAGAACTCGGGGAGAGGGGTCCCTGTCCCTTGTTCACCCCTTGGGACTTGCGGACCTGACCTCCACAAGTTGGCCCGCCCATCAGACCAGTGGTGCTCCTCCGTCCTCGTCCGTTCACCGTCCTGCCTTGTGTTTGGTTGTGGCATCTCTTGTCCCTGCCACGGAGGCTTATTGTGACGGTAACCCTGAAGCATCCTGCGAACCCTAGGACTTCCGGGAAGACAGTGCCCGTTTCGTTCGGGTGTCACCTGTCACTCTCACGGTGTAGGCGTTACAGATCCTATATCTTGCAAAGCCTAACTGGCATTTTCAAACGTAGTCGTAGGAGTGCTGTACTTATAATTCTTACCCTCTGTCAGGGCCCTGAAATTGCAAGTTAGTGGTTTTCCAAGGGCAGATCTTTACGTTGTTTATTCTCTAGCAACAATGCAAGGAAGTTTCACTTCTTTAAGCTGCAGAGAGGCCCCTTGTGGGGAACCCATGTCCTGTCTGTCGGGGACAAGAGGCCTTGATGCTCAGGGTCTTGGGGTGGTCCTTTGGAGAACCTGCAGGAGGACTAGATGCCGTAGCAGTTGGCCAGGCTGAGGGGATGTGCTAGAGGAACCCAGAGGCGGGCGGGCTCCCCGTGGGGCCTGCGGGGGACTGGCGCCTAAGCCCACCTTCACCCGCCCCCGTTTGAAACAGACTCCGCCCACCCGACGAGAGAATGTAACTCACTATGGGATGTGTAATCTGCTTCGTTGGGTGAGTTTGTTCCTTGAAGAGGGTCTGAAGTATGTCTTTATCACAGAATGAGGCGTCAGGAATTCATCACTACACTGGTTTAGGAAAAAGCTGCTTAAACTGTAACTATAGAATAATCATAATTTCAAAATGGCATTTTCATTTAGTAAATTGTAATTATAATTTCTAGTTAAACTAAATTATTGGCTTGTCTACTCGTATATTCCGCTTCAAAATAAACCATTATATTTGATGAGAGGGTATGATTTCCATAACATTCTTAGTGTGGAACCTCAGACATGATCTTTGGACAGAATTCTTTGATCATATATTTTCTCCAACTATAAATACATATTTTGTCTTTACTGAAGGTGGTGTCTCAACTTCCTTTAAGCCATGCATTTTTTAATCAACTGGTCATCCAGTCAGTAAAGTATCCCTGCGAGTGAGTTCCCTGAGCCACTCTGACAAGTTAATCGGCCTGCGGAGGGGTCATTGGAACCTCCCATCTGTGCTGGTGGGTCAGGTGACACCTGGACTTGTGTTCAGAGCCTGAAGTTGCCGGTGGGGGCAGGGGGCGGGGTGTCTTGTGGGACCCAGTCCCTAACCTGTGGGAGCTGATGCCGTGTCCAGGTGCATAGTCAGGACTGAGTTAAGTTGTGGGACATCAGGTGGTGCCAGAAATGCTCGGTGGCCGGGAAGGAAACCTCAGAACTGGTGTCACATCTTACCCTCCGATCCCCATTTGCTGGTCTGAAAAGGGCTTTGTAAGTGCGTTCAGAGGACACGAATCCCACCGGCTTCACACAAAAGGTCCCACCCCGGCCTGCCTCCGGGCCTGTTGGAGACACCAGTGTATTGAGTGCCCACGGCCGGAAGGGCCTTCCAGGTGCCCGTGTTTCCACGGCTCGTCAGGCTGTGGGCCGTTCCCTCCTCGCCCGGGAACCACGGACACGGTTGGAGAGCCAGTGGCATTACCTCACCACGCTCCGCACCTGGTGCGTGACGGGCGCTAAACGCTCGCAAACAAAAGGCATTTGTGTCAGACGGGTGTGGGCTTGCCCTCCTGTGGGCCGGAGGCTGGGTGTCTGTGGGCGCTGCGAACAGGAGACGATTCATAGCACGTTGGCCTTTAAAACAGGGAGCTAGACTCTGCGTCCTTTCCTCTGTCCTTGATCGTCCATCCGGTTGGTGTGAGTGTTTACAGCCGCTGATGCTGAGGGACTGGCCATGGAGGCCGGCCTGCCCCTGCCCCTGCCCTCTGCCCTCTGCCCTCTGCCCTCGGTGGCAGTGTGTGTGCGGCTGAGACAGCAAGGAGCCCGCAGGTGTTCCCCGGGCTCAGAATTCGGGTCAACACCGAGTTCCTCCTGCAGCAGAGTGAGCTGGGCTGGCGCCCT